ACCAGTCTGCGTGACACAAAATCATCCAGCACATGTATCCACAGTCCAACAGCAATGTTCGCAGACTCACGAACACATACGACTCTCTCCTCGGGTCAGCCCGTTTGAACAAATCGCCTGGACAGCAAAGGAAAGCCTGCGGAGTTGACTCTGTTCTGCAGTGGGGGGAGGCAAACGAAGGCGGTTTCTCTTTCGCATCCAAACGTACGTGTCAATTCTTTCAATATTTTGTAGCGGCAACGGTACAACACCCGTGGTGTCGTTTTTTTTTTTTTTATTTTTCGTTTCGTTTTTTGCTTGCGACGCCAGAGCACAAAACGTTTCGAAACGGCAATGACGGTGTTCCCACGACTCTTAGTTATCACGCCAGCTCTGTTTCGTATTGCCTGCGTCCCAAATCTCGATGTGAAGCTGAGTCCCTCCCACACAAATATCTACCTCGTCGAGTCGCAACAGAACATGTATGTAAACACAGGACATCGTTGCCCGAGATCAATTGCACTATCGGGCCAGTCGTGACCAAGTCGCTCCGAAAGCCCATGCCATCCATATCCATGACACTCATTTCCAGGGTTTCTGTGTCCCGACTCTCAATGGCAAAGCCGAGTCGCGGCTCCCACACACACGTCTCCCTCGTCGAGTCGCAGCAGCAAATCAAAACACCGGGGCGCCATTGCTAGAGAACAGTTTCACTGTCGGAGGAGCACGTGACAAACTTCCCTTCTTGCCCATGGCATTCATATCCATGCTTGTCTGTTTCTGTGCAGTCCCGGTGTGTAACCGAGTCTCCACTTCAACACAAATGCGACCCTTTCCCTGGGTGGATCACATCATCAGACTTATGAAAACACGGGCCGTCGTCGTTGCCAAAGATCCGTTCATGTCGGCTTCCAAGTCGTCGAGGCAACCGGTAGGCATCTGAATCTGAGCAACACCCTGCTCAAACTGTGGCAGAGGCTGTAGGAAAGCAAGCCATACCAACCCAAATTGCAACCCCCTCGCGCAGTCGCCCGGCACCAAATCGTCATCCAATGAAGTTTCCCACCCGCACGCTCTTGCTGACGTTGGTCGCGTGGGCGTTTCCGTCGCTGCCACCCTCCCTCCGGCGCGTTCGATGAAGCATTATTGGCTTCCCCTCGTGACACGATGTTGTGCTTGTGGATCTTGGGAGCTGCGTGCCTCCCTCACCCGCGCAGGCAAGTGTGAAGCCAACCCCTGGCGGGTCGTGCGCCCTCCTCCGACAGAAATACCGCCCCTGTCAGCTTCTTTTCGACGTGTGCCTTCCCACATCTGCGTTCCCACCTTCGTCGGCCATGGGAAAACATGGCGCAGTTGGGTTCGTGCTGCTTTTTTAAGAGATTCGCGCGGTATCGTAAACAAGCATGAAATCGGCACCGTGATATCGTGTTTGGTCATATCTCAGCATCAACCGGTCGCTTCGGGTCGAACGATGGCTTGCGCGACAGTTAATGTGGTTACGAAGCATGTGCCGTGTCGTCAAAACGAACTTTTGGACACCGGTGTCGTAAACAGCAATGCCGCATAATAATGAACTACGTTTGGCGTGTTGAGACGGACGGCACCACGGCCGGAGCGATACCACGAGCACCACTGAGTTTCTCATGCCAACGAGGACCGTGAATCTGGTTGGAGGCACGTTCTTGCGGAAGCAAACTGTTCCAGGAAGGTCGGTCACGCAACCGTGAATCCTACCTTTGCCTCGCCATAGAGCTGCCGTAGGCTTTGTAACGCGCGCCACGCGTCGCCGATGTGACGGTGAGAGCGCAGAATTTTGGACTAACAATTTCACGAGGAAGAAGTAAATCGGGCGTCGTAATTCCAGGGGCTTCGACGAGGAAGATCAAGACTTAATGAGCCAAGGTGATGGCATCGTAGTTGTTTCGACAGCCCAACCCCCAGCCCCTGACAATTTCGAATCATCGGTAGGCCTGCAGCTACAGAATGCGTCTGTACTTCGCTGATCGCCCCCGGGGTTCCCAGTGGTTCAGTTGGTGACCTCGCTACTTGCCAACCGTTGGACACGAGAGGAACTCAGCGCAGTTGCACGGAGTGGGATATTAATCACGGTTTTCACAGACAAAAGTGGATGACGAGGTTAGACAACATGTAGAGTCCGTCCGGTTAAATTTTTCCACAACATGACCCCCACTTTTTCTCGCTTGTTTTTGAGAGTTGACACGCGAAAAAAAGTTGAGAAG